ATAATTCACTGCCTTTGTAAAAATTTCAGTTTAATGCAAAATGACGAGCTCTTGTTTGTGTGCGACGCGCGTATTCCTGGGTTATTCAGTTCGTCGGCTATGGAAGCTCAAAAGCAGAGGTTTTGGTTCATTCCTGACCTCCGCGATTAGCTTGCTTCTGTGCAACTCTTGAATGAGGGAGCTGACTTTTGACTTAAATTTTCTACTTGTAGCCTAGCCAAATACGCCTGTCAAGAAAATCATTGTTATAGCTTCTGTTTTGGACCTGCTTACAAACAAACCGGCATTCAGTGCCTAATAAACATTGAATCCGACGTTTGGGAGGTTTTTTTTTTGCGCTGGATGAGTCAAAAATCATCATCGTCTAGCAATCTCGGATCCTTTGCGCCAGCTTGTTCATTCAGTTTTGCTCGGACCAGCTTATCATAAAAACAAAATCGCACTGGCTTCCTGGTCAAAAAATCAAAATTCTTTTCTGACGGTACTACACTTACGGCATCGTGCCAGCACCGACTACTCGTTAGCAAAGCTTTCGATGGCTGGTTCAGAAAAAAGCTGATAGTGGTTCTTTCTCAACAAGTACCACGACTTGGTTCCGAAGCAGCTAATATCTCGAACTATTTAATATCTCGAATTAGAGGAAGCAAAATGACACTTTCTAGTGATCAGGGACTTCGCATGTATCACGCAGTGCAGCGCTTCGCAAACCGTTTGACTTAGCGTGTGCCTTGAAAAGTTTGGCGCCCAACATAGACCAAGAATGCCAATACTGCTCGAAATCCCATTTTAGTGGGATGCTCCGACGTGCGAGGCACAGACATTTCGATGCATATCCCAGTTGGTACCTGCCGCTTATTCAAGTGCAACACAACGAAAAATTTACAAAGAATATTTTTGTCTAGGGCGAGCGTTGGGGCTGCTCGGAGTTGCTGAATACAATCGAGAAACGAGTACGACCAAAGTTCCATGTGTTCGGGCATGTGCATGAACAGAACGGGCTGACGAGTAATGGTGAGACGACGTTCATCAATGCTTCAATATGTGATCATCAGCTCGCTCCAGTCAACAATCCGATCATCTTCGATATCGAGCTGCGAGCTGGAACATCAAAAAATTCACTTTCTTTTCCTCTCGCAATTGTGCAAGCTTGAATCTTACGTCTGTCAATCCATCATGTTTGATATAAGCTTTAATTTCACTTCTTCTGGTACATCTTATCTGACATACACACGCACACACACATGGACCATCTACTAGCACTTACTGGGACGTGCTACAATTCCTGCAAAAAATCGGCAAAAAGAAGAAATCTACCGGGTTTTAATGAAAAGCATAGGTCGTAGTGCATGGTACGCTAATGAACAGGAGGTTTCGAAAATGAGGAGTTTGATTGCCTCCCGAGTTGCTAAACTGCAAAGTTGGTTCCTTTGGAAGGATACTGGCAGTTTGTGGTATCCCGGCTGTGATGTTTCCAGGAACTCTGTGCTGCGCACGCTGCAAATCTCAGCCATTAACGCTTATCTGCAAAAAGCCTCTGCTCATGATGCACATTAGAGTATCCTGTACGGTAATGGAGTTCCAGTTCTACTGCTGAACTAGGCTGTATCGAGGCATCACTTCCTTTTTATTCTAAAATAACAAATTCCTCGTTTTTTCCTCGCCTATTGTAATT